TCTCTCTCTCTCTCTCTCTCTCTCTCTCTGACGTTGCGCCGTGTAATGTACCCGCGTCATAAATAAAAACTGTATTAGCATGGCAACTGAAATTAACATCCGCGCGAGATTATGTCAGTAATCTCGTTTTATTGGCCGATTATCTATTTATGTATCTCGTCCCGGCAGAAATAATACCGTAGCAACAGTACCTATTTCTCGCTCTCTTTTCCTATCGGCCGTCATTGTCTCCCTCTCTCTCTTTCGCACGCGCGTAGCCGATGCAAATGCAGCAGCACCGGTTTTTCCGTTTTGCGATAAATCACAATGTGTCGTGACACACGCAGTGAGCCCCGTCGTCACCCGCTGCAACGCGCTTGGCTTCAACACGGTTCGGACAGTTTTTCCACACGACGCAACTTGCGAGAGGTAGTCGTTGCTCCAACGAGAGGATTCGACTGCTGGGGATTAATCGAGAGCAGCTTCTTCTCTTGTCGAGCCGTCGGTTGCGCTCTAAGCCGTATCTATTAGGAAAAAGTGTCCAAATCTAGTATACCAAGAAAAGAAAATGCATCTAAAAAACAAAAAGATATTTATTCGCTGAGTACTCTGGACGCGTATTTACTCGAATCTACGTTCTTTCAGTTAAATGAAAACTGTTTCGCTCCAGAAATCTATTTAAGCAGACACAATTCACGTTTAAATTAACAAAACTGCTCTTCCTCGCGTGAGAAACTACACTTTCAAGAAAATAGATATCCTTGTTTGAGAAAAGAAATACTGTTTTTTGAGCAAAAAATATGTATACCAATATGAGGAAACATGTTATTAGTAGCCAAAGAAAAAGATATAATTTTGTTTTTTTAGATATTTTTTCTGTCAGTATAACTCGAAACCGCGAGAGTATGTTGCGCGGCGCGCAAGAAATTCGGAGCACACACGACGAACGAAGGTGAGCGTTCGCGGGGGTGCAGAGCGCGACGCCGAAGGCGAAGGTGGGTGCACGTGGCGCAGTGGCGGGGAGGGGAGGGGCGGGGAGGGGAACGCAGAAACGAGCGGCGGAATATCCTGATCTCAGCGAAGGCCGCCTGGTGCATTCTAGGTGGGCAAAAACTGCATAGGAAACCACGCCCTGGCGAACCGATCGCGTATCCTCAGGGACGATTCGCCGGCGAAACTAGACTAGAGCTCTTTCGCGCGAACGCACGAGCACGTGTATCCGCAACAGAGCACGATCCGGCCGAGCGTGCGATGATGATCGCGCGTCCTACAACGTCCTACAGCTTCCGGTGTTGGCGGTGAGGCGCGGATCGCGGCTGATCTCCAGCAATCTCGGCGACTCCGCGCGTCCTCGTCGCGACAAATGGACGAAGAAGGATCCCGCGCTCGAACGTCCGCCTTTCATCTGGTCTGTTCCTTTCAGCCGGGTCTGACTGCACCTTTTGCACCATTCCCCCCTTCCTCCCAAACAAACTTTCACGATCATCACAACGCGAGACAATCGATGGAAGCTCCGAAATTTGTTTAATTATATCTTTGATGTAAATAAACTGTATTAAATCAACAACACAGTAATTGAATCCTTGTTACATTTATGCACAGCAATAGAAATTCACTAAAAGTCACATCCAGATTTTCATCTCACGTTTTATATGACACATTGTTTTAAATAAATTTTGATGGTGTTCTTCTGCGCGTATTTCTTTCGTATTTCTATTTCGTCGTGACAAAAACACGAACCACTCATAAAGAGGTCTTTACAAATCGACTAGTAATGTTGCTGCAAGAAGTAATCCAAATAGATCATCACGACGCGAGACAATTAATAATGCAAACTCTACAACTTTTTAAATTACATTTGTGAAGTAGATAAACCGTGTACTGAATCAGTCGTTAAATTTGTGTCGTACAATAATTAACAAATTTTTCGTCATATTGTTGGAAGCAACACACGTACACAATTTACTGAAAATTTACTGAAATTTATACATTGGGAACACGCCCAGATGCTCGCATCAAATCTTGCATGGCATATTGTGTGGAGCAGCGCGCACTGAACCTCCTTTTCTATTTATTTCGTATTTCTATTTCGTCATTCCGCGTGATAAATACGAGCCATTCACGGGGAACGCATCCTTCGCCAGTCGACCGGTGAGAAGTTGCTGGCAAATTTACGTATTACGTGTCTATCTGGAACTACTTGAGCTAATAAATAATGCTAGTAAAAAGAGCGAGACTAGTAACTCGTGAACAAACACGCGCGGCACTCATAAGCCGCGACGTAGATTCCAGCCCGAGCTCACGGGAGAGATCACACTTCGACACCGATTCCTACCTACGTCGCTTAGAGTCGTAGGAGTCTCGCAATGGTCCGTTCGCCGGCGCGCGATAAGTGGATTGAACGTGCGAACGCGCACGTACACAAACGTACACACAGTGCTGCGTGCGTGAGTGCGCTCGTTCGTGCGTGCATGCACGCATGCATGTGTGCACGAGGACGTAAAACAGACAGTCCGAGTGACCCGTTGGCTACCTACCTACATCCTGTCTACTTGAGGCCGGCCACCTATCCACCTTCAGCCTACCTGTCTACGCGCCTGAGTGTATTCGCTCTCGCTGAACATAGGCGCGCGTGCGCACGCTTTATCGCTAATCAATATAATATATCTTCCGGCTGCTAGTTACAACGAGCGTAATAACGCGCGCGCGCACCGGACGGCCTTCGTAACGATTTCGTCGAGGTCACTTTACTCACTCGATCCTCTTTTTTTCCTTCTTCTTCTTTTGCGCTGTTACGGAGGAGCGAGAGAGAATTTGAGAGGAACGGAGAGGAGGAGAGCCGAGGGAGAGCTGCCGTGAGTAATCTCGACGCGGACGTATCGTGGCTGTCATTGCGACCGACGTGTTGGAGAATCGGAATTCGCGCGAGCGACAAGCACGATGACGATCGCGAATTGGGCGACGACGAGCGCTCTGGTCAACAATTCGGGCTGCTGGTCCCCGCTGGTCCCCGCTGGTCCCCGTGAGAAACGAGCTGCTTTCGGGGAAAGGATGAGTCTGCTGAGTCAAATGTGTCGTAAACATTTGCGCGTTAATGTGCACGAGTCGAAGGACCGATCGGTTCTCAGGTGCCGGAACCAGTCGGCGAGCCGAAGTCTTTTCAAATCCCAGGACAGCTTCGTGTATTGATCTTGTTTGGAAGAGACGTTTGATCTCGTCAATGTTCGTCGATTTCACGACGATGAAATGAAAGAGGAACGCGTTCACCTCTACAGCTCGCGCGGTTAATGCTCCCGTCGCGTCGGGAGCCTCGAAAAATGATCGCGGCCTCCGAGAGACTTCGGCGAGTCACCGTACGCCTCCAGCTCGAAGACGGACGTCAGTCGTCCCCGGAGTGGACGCGTCGAACGCACATCGGGACTAGGAACTGTTATTCGAGAGCGAAGGGTTTCACTTACACTTTCCAGCACGCTCGTTTCTCGGCCAAGTTCAACCGAAAATGTGTCATGAAACGCCAGTTTGCTCAGGAGAAAGCACTCTCGAGTGGGTTACGGCGACGGCGACGACGTCAGCGGGACCTAGGCCAAGATCGGTTAACGCGGAGAAAGAGAAAATGAGAGGGGCCGGCGGGGAAGTACGATCACTCACACACACACACACACTCTCTCTCTCTCTCCCTTCTTTGGGTGTGCACTCGTAACTAACACGTGCGCGCACTCGCGCACTCGGACACACGCACGCGTGCGTGCATGCGAGGGAGGGTCCAAGGAGGACAAGAGAGGGACGGGACGAATGGCCAGGCTTGGGTCGGAAAAATAAAACTAGGCAGACCAGGGCAGAGAGTCCGTTAGACCGCCTCCCGTGGTCTCTCCCTTTCTCCTCCCTTTGCATTCTCTCTCTTAGAAAGAAAGAGAGAGACAGAGAGGATAGAACACGCGTGTATATACGCGTACACGTGCCGTCGAGGGAAAAAAGGAAAGAGAAAAAGGCAGAGGGAGAAAGAGAGGCGAAGAGAGGAACAGAGAGAGAGAAGCCTAACCTAAGGCACCAGAAGAGCCCGTGGCTTCGGGCATGGCGCTGCAGTTTGCCCCTGAACTTGGTTCTCGGGCTCTTGCCCACGTCGACGTTGACCCACTTTCGTGGCGTCGCCTCTACGCCACCCGTGGCCGCGCTACTCGAGACCAAGCCACTGAGCGCGATCGCCCCGCGCCGATTTTCCCGCGTCGAGAGAGGCCTAGACCCTACGATCGCATTTCGCTGTCCCAGATACGCGGCGAACGGTTCACTCGCGTATCGCGGCAGGCACGGCTGCCCAGATAAACTCGCGCACGCGATTACCACGACGCGAGACCATAGATCCATACGATGATGGCAGCTCTATAATTTTCTTCATTACATTCATGAGGCAAACACACAGTACTGAGTGAATCATTAACCCTTTGCGCGCACAGTCATGTCTTTTCGGACATACAGCATAATTTGAGTCTGTAAAAGTCGGGCAATTCTGTTGGAAATCAATCATTCCTCACATATTTTTCTTCTAGAGATATGGAGAAGCCTCAGAGTTGTAAGAGAAATGGTGGCGGAACAAGATCTAAATCTACGGACAGATCCGCGTTGTTTAGAAGGTTTTCCGAACTCCTTACGAAAGTTTGCGAATCCAATATTTGTTTGAGACTTCGACAGACCCAACATTGTGGGTTAAGTTTACATTATACGATAACGTAGACTTTCTGTCATGTATCATCGATGCCTCAACAAATTTACCAAAGATTTGTACTCAGACCTTCATAATTGACAATGACATCGTTCCAAATTTTGATGCTTTTATTTTTCTGTTTTATCTGTTTATTCCTCGTTTTCTACGTGATAAATGTATAAACCACTCATAAGGGAACTTGACCAACCTTTACAAACCGACTGAGTAAAGTTGCTGTCAAATTTACACCTGTTACTACCTGGGTAACTGGAACGTGTAGCTCTCAGGAAACATTGACATTTTGTCGCGGTAACGACACGCAAGAGAGACAGAGAGGGAGAAACACACTGCAATAATGCATCCGGTTATCCTTGATCGTCGCTTCTACAGTTTTCCCGATCGAGAAGCGATCGGATCGCGCGACCTGCTGTCGCGCCTCTCGATTCGGTCATCGCGGCGGCGTTATCGAGTGTGTTATCTTAGCAAACATTACGTTAGGATGGCGAGGTACAAGTTTGTCGGCCTGCTGGACCACCGTCGCCGCTGCGGGCTCCTCGGATTGGACGCGGCAATACGCGAGTACCGGGATAATCATTAGTTTATATAACAAGTCATTTCCCGCGGCCACGTGATTTTCTCGTCAAGGCGATCCGCTCACCATCGCCGAGCGACGCCGACAGCACTTGTGCCACCATAGACCACCGTATGCTAGGCCAGTGCAATCGCCCGTGAGACTGAAATGGCCCGCCTCGTTTGGTGGAATGTCTCGTCGTTGATTGACCCATTTTCATCCACGCAGTCGTTGACCACGAATACACGTCGAT